GAACCCCCCGGGGTTGAAATCTGGGGTGAAGGCGTCGAAACTTTTTGGTAAATAAAAAATAAACGCCGATAAAATAGGATAAAATGCAATAAAACAATAAAATTCCAATGGAAGCGGGTCCTGGCAGGGATAAACTGGGAATTGGCAGGTCCTGGAAGGCACCCAAAGACCTCAAAAGGGGGTAAAAGAAGCGATTCGGGTCCTGGAAGGGGAGAAACGACCCCCAAACACCTCAAAATGGGGTGAAACAAGCGATTCGGGTCCTGGAAGGGGAGAAACGACCCCCAAACACCTCAAAATGGGGTGAAACAAGCGATTCGGGTCCTGGAAGGGGAAGAAAGACCCTCAAACAACTCAATGTGGGGCGCAACAGCCGATCTGGGTCCTGGCAGGTATCTACAGCCCCCAACACCCCGCAAAACAGCCACTTTGGGTCCTGGCAGATGCACAGCAACACCGGTCGCCCCACATGATGGGGTCAGTACAAACTTTGGGTCCTGGCAGGCCACCACCGGCCCTTTCACCCCTCATGACGGGTTCAACACTCCCTTTGGGTCCTGGCAGGCCTCCACCAGCCCCTTTTCCCCTCATGATGGGGTTCAACACTCACTTTGGGACCTGGCAGGCCACCACAGGCCCTTTCACCCCTCATGACGGGTTCAACACTCCCTTTGGGTCCTGGCAGGCCTCCACCAGCCCCTTTTCCCCTCATGATGGGGTTCAACACTCACTTTGGGTCCTGGCAGGCCTCCACCAGCCCCTTTTCCCCTCATGATGGGGTTCAACACCCACTTTGGGTCCTGGCAGGGCACCACAGGCCCTTCCACCCCTCATGATGGGGTTCAACACTCACTTTGGGTCCTGGCAGGGCACCACCAGCCCCTTTTCCCCTCATGATGGGGTTCAACACTCACTTTGGGTCCTGGCAGGCCACCACCAGCCCCTTTTCCCCTCATGATGGGGTTCAACACTCACTTTGGGTCCTGGCAGGGCACCACCAGCCCCTTTTCCCCTCATGATGGGGTTCAACACTCACTTTGGGTCCTGGCAGGCCACCACAGGCCCCTTCACCCCTCATGACGGGTTCAACACCCACTTTGGGTCCTGGCAGGGCACCACCAGCCCTTTTCCCCTCATGATGGGGTTCAACACCCACTTTGGGTCCTGGCAGGGCACGGTGACACTCACGGCCTGCTTACAAACACCTCCCTCCCCTCACAACCCAGCCCCGGTGCGGCGGGAAGCGCTGAGGGGACCGGGGAAGGGGCTCCGGTCCCTGCGGGAAGCTCTGAGGGGCCCGCGGGGGTCTCCGGAACCGCCGGGAAGAGCTGAGGTGAGGATCGGGGGGAATGGAGGGGTCTCGGTACCTGCGGGAGCCTCCGGCAAGCGGGAAAGGGGAGCTCGGGCCCCCGGGGAAGCCCTGAGGGGTCACTCGGGGGTCTCGGTACCTGCGGGAGCCGCCGGCAAGCGGGAAGGGGGAGCTCGGGTCCCCCGGGAAACTCTGAGGGGCTCGAATGGCGATGAGCTCGGAGGAACGCCTGGGGGGGGTCCCGGTATCCCCGGGAAGCTCTGAGGGCTCTGAGGGGGCACTCGGGGGTCCCGGTATCCCCGCGAAGCTCTGAGGGCTCTGAGGGGGCACTCGGGGGTCCCGGTATCCCCGCGAAGCTCTGGTCACTCGAGGGTCTCGGTACCTCCGGGAAGCTCCGAGGGGTCACTGAGGGGTCCCGGTGGTCCCTCCGGGCAGCTCTGAGGGCTCTGAGGGGGCACTCGGGGGTCCCGGTATCCCCGGGAAGCTCTGAGGGGTCACTCGAAGGGTCCCCGGTATCCCCGGGAAGCTCTGAGGGGTCACTGAGGGGTCCCGGTGGTCTCTCCGGGCAGCTCTGAGGGCTCTGAGGGGTCACTCGAAGGGTCCCGGTATCCCCGGGAAGCTCTGAGGGGTCACTCGGGGGTCCTAGCGATACCTCCGGGCAGCTCTGAGGGCTCTGAGGGGTCACTCGAAGGGTCCCGGTATCTTCGGGCAGCTCTGAGGGGTCACTTGAGGGGTCTCGGTACCTCCGGGAAGCTCTGAGGGCTCTGAGGGGGCACTCGAAGGGTCCCGGTATCCCCGGGAAGCTCTGAGGGGTCACTGAGGGGTCCCGGTGGTCTCTCCGGGCAGCTCTGAGGGCTCTGAGGGGTCACTCGAAGGGTCCCGGTATCCCCGGGAAGCTCTGAGGGGTCACTCGGGGGTCCTAGCGATACCTCCGGGCAGCTCTGAGGGCTCTGAGGGGTCACTCGAAGGGTCCCGGTATCCCCGGGAAGCTCTGAGGGGTCACTCGGGGGTCCTAGCGATACCTCCGGGCAGCTCTGAGGGCTCTGAGGGGTCACTCGAAGGGTCCCGGTATCTTCGGGCAGCTCTGAGGGGTCACTTGAGGGGTCTCGGTACCTCCGGGAAGCTCTGAGGGCTCTGAGGGGGCACTCGAAGGGTCCCGGTATCCCCGGGCAGCTCTGAGGGGTCACTCGGCGGACTCGGTACCCCCGGGAAGCTCTGAGGGCTCTGATGGGTCACTCGGGGGGTCCCCGGTATCCCCGGGAAGCTCTGAGGGTATCTGGGGACAGTTCCAAGGGGTCACTCGGGGGTCCCGGTGGTCCCTCCGGGCAGCTCTGAGGGGTCGCTCGGGGGTCCCGGTATCCCCGGGAAGCTCTGAGGGCTCTGAGGGGGCACTCGAGGGGTCTCGGTACCTCCGGGCAGCTCTGAAGGGTCACTCGAAGGGTCCCGGTATCCCCGGGAAGCTCTGAGGGGACACTCGAGGGTCCCGGTGGTCCCTCCGGGCAGCTCTGAGGGCTCACTCGAAGGGTCCCGGTATCCTCGGGCAGCTCTGAGGGGTCACTTGAGAGGTCTCGGTACCTCCGGGAAGCTCTGAGGGATCTGAGGGGGCACTCGAGGGGTCTCGGTATCCCCGGGCAGCTCTGAGGGGTCACTCGGCGGACTCGGTACCCCCGGGAAGCTCTGAGGGCTCTGATGGGTCACTCGGGGGGTCCCCGGTATCCCCGGGAAGCTCTGAGGGTATCTGGGGACAGTTCCAAGGGGTCACTCGGGGGTCCCGGTGGTCCCTCCGGGCAGCTCTGAGGGGGCGCTCGGGGGTCCCGGGGTCCCCGGGGGG